TCCCACCTTATTTCAAAGAAATTAAGCATTTAAGGGGCTCCTAAAAGTATTATGGGCTGTCAGCATTTCCTACTGTGCCTTATGTGTGTCAGCCCGGCCCACTGTGTGTGCTCCTAATAAAAACTGATGAAGACAAGATAATTGACTGTCCCAAGTTTAATCAATCAAAAAGGGGATGAATCTATATAAAATATCACTAGATATTCTTGCCTAAATAGTCAAATCTCAAAGTTTATTTATCATCAGTTTTCATTATTCGCCCCCAGAGCTTCTTCATGACATTTTTCACTTCTTCGTTTCTGAGAGTATAGATTAAAGGGTTCAACATAGGCGTCACTAGGGTGCAAAACACAGTCACTGCTTTGTCGGTGGGGAAGGAGGTCATGGGTCTTAGGTAAAGGTATGAACAAGGTATGAAGAATAGGATGACAACAGTGATATGAGAGGCACAAGTAGACAGGGCTTTGCGACGCCCATTAGAGCTGTGAGTCCTCAGGGAGCACAGGATGATGACATAGGAAGCAACCAGCATGGAAAAAATGAGGAAACACAGTGACCCACTGTTGGCAGCAATCAGGGGCCCCAAAGTGTGAGTGTCTGTGCAGGCCAGCTCCAGAAGAGGTATTAAATCACACATAAAGTGGTCGATGACATTGGGGCCACAGAATGGTAACTGAGCCATAAACAAAGTCTGGATCCCTCCATGAACAAACCCCAAAATCCCAGCCATCCCCACCAAGAATCCACACATAGGTCGGCTCATGATGGTCGTGTAGTACAAGGGCTTACAGATGGCTACGTAGCGGTCATAGGCCATGACAATTAACAAAATGATTTCAGCTGCAGCAAAGAAATGTTCAGCAAAGAGCTGAGTCATGCAGCCATTGAAGGATATGGTGTTCTTTTCAGAGACCAAGTCGGAGATCATTTTGGGTGCTATGGAAGAAGAGTAGAAGCCATCTATGATGGACAAACAGGACAGAAAAAAGTACATGGGAGAACCCAGGGCTGGGCTGATGAAGATGGTGACTGAGATGAACAGGTTACCTAACAATGCGATCAAGTAGGTGATTAAAAACACAACGAACAAGAATTTCTGCCATTCTGGATTGTGAGTCAGGCCCAGCAGGATGAATTCTGTTACATTGTTCATCCTTTCCACTGAGTTAGCTTGGGTTGTGTGCATATGATCCATCTGAAAAAAAATCACAGTATTTCTGAGTGATGATTTTTTAATTCAATACTAAAATATTTCATCACTTCTTTAGTCTTGGTCTCTGGGATTGATGGAGCTGAACTTCCACTCACCTTTGCTATTTTGCAGAAAGTTGTAAAGAAGAGCAGAAAGAGGTTAGACTTCCTGTAACTCATATTAATGGAGTAGTGACGACGCCTTACAAGTATCACAATAAAGCAAGGTGTTATTATATACGTTTACTTACATTTGACACCCCAACTTTCTTTCTGGCTCTAAAAATCTCACAGATGGCTTTCTTTCATTTCTTGGATAAATTTCATCAATAAAAATTGTTTTGAAGTTATACTTGTCTATCGTTATGATTATTTGTAGGTGTATGAACACAATCATCTATTAAAGTCAATTGTGTATCTGATACTAATGTGCCTTACTAAATCTAAGCCAGCTGTGTTCTGGGATCTATTCTTCGTTTCTCTCATATGAATGCACATGTACACAGAGATAGAGACAGAGCTGCAGATGGAGTTAACTTTTCTTTCTGAATGCCAAGGAACTATAACAAGTCATCGAGCATAATTCATTCAACAGCCTTGGATGTCGTGTCTGTCTCTTTGTGACCCTTTCTTTCATACTCACTCCTTCTGCATCTTTGGATGTGGATATGTAAATGATGCAAAGTTCCCCTAAAAGTTCACAATATTTCATAAATAAATTTTCCTTGTACTTGGACTCTTGTCACATGTAGAATTATGCTCTGGATTAGATATATTTTCCCACGTGTATTTTACAAATGGAATTAAGTGAGTCATGCTCTCCTTGAGTTTTCTATTGACAAGGCAGAAATGTTAGGCTCACCTGAGATAATACGATTTTCCCTTTTGGGATAAATTCAATCAATTAAGATGAACTTGCAGTTTTCATTGCTAACTGGTAAACAGTTGAAAATTTTCATTGGTTAACTGGAAATATTGAATGTATACAAGAATATATATATTTTTGAATGATCTGAACATGAATTTTCAAGAGTACATGTTGTTGTTACAAAAGAGCATAAGATATTTTATTCTTTCTCCTCTTCTCTTTTTCCTTCTTTTCCCAATCCCTGCTGAAAACTATAACCACACATTTTTCCTCAAACATTTCTGCACAGAATTCAGCATCATGACCTCTAGGCATCAATAAAGGCGAGGAAAGATATCTTTGATTTTAAGGAAGGCTGAGTTGTCAAATTATTTCCTCCTTATCCATGGCTCCTGTAGATGGTGACTATGTGGTTAATCATTCTTAATGGATTTAATTCACAAATTCTAACACCAATGTGGCAACAAGTCATGAAAAGGGGAAAGAAATTTCAAGCCACTACAAACAGAAACCTATAGAATCAGTGTGTTTAGTGAGACATAAATATTAATGACAATGTCTTAAAAATGACTTCAGTAGTTCTGAAAAGCATCTGTTCTGGCAACATTACAGATAGCGTTTTCTGTATTTTTATGTCTTTGTGTCCAAATTCATTTTCAGAGCAAAATACTAAACTTCAAGTCAAATATGTAACTATAAAATCTACTTTAGTGAAAATAAATTGGCCAAATCAAGTCAATCTGCTTAAAATTTGGGAAAAAAGATTGAATTTTCACTGACCTGGGTCTACTTGCTGGTGGATTCTTCTATTTTTAGTGATTACGTTCTTCTCCTGCAGGCATATGGAACGCAACCAAAAAGAGACTCTGAGCCGACACATGGGACATTGGAATTCCTCTGTCTCTGGACAACTCTCCCAGTTTGGACATTTTAGTTTATTTTGGTTTCCAGTGTCAGTCTGGATTTACTCAGAAAATGAGCTGCTTCAGTTAGGAAACTTCAATAT